TAGTACGAGCTAGCATGGTGGACTTGCAGCAGTAGGCTCTATTGCAGTGTAGGTTGCCTCCAGGCACTTAATTTAGGGAGCTAGATTTGCTGACATAAGGAGAGTGCCAAGCACATCAGGCCAAGGCTTAGGACAGTGTGTCAATGACCTTTGGGCATTTATCAGCCATACTAGAAGAATATTGTATATTTCCTGATCAGTGCAAAGGCCAAGGTCCCTTGGGACTGAACCAAAAAGAGTTGTGCTCCTGAGCATCGTTGAAAAGAGCCTTGCCTGACAGAAGACTTATATTCTGATCATTGATGATCCTCAATTGTGACTTATTCACTGTCTAAATAAACCCCATAGTTGTGATTATGGTCCGTGAGCTCCGTGCAGTGTTCCAGTGACATTTTGAGGCCAGCAAGGGTGCAGAAAGTGGTTTGAGAGGGACTGTCTGTGTCAGAGCTGCCAAATGAGGTTGGAGGCAAGAGGTACAGGGGATTTGGTCTTGGGCTGATGTTGAATTTGATTCCCTTCTTCCTTCTGAAGCCTGAGGCAGTCAGCTGCCGCCCACCACATCGTTCTTACCAGAAGCAACCCTGCTGTTCGAAAGTGCAGAACCGGAGTCTGTACAAGGGAGCAATAGAACACGGCAGACACAAATTTAGGGGGAGCATGTGTTTAACGTCACTGCTTAAGCTCAGCCTTGGACAGTCCGCACTCTTGGGGTCGTGATTGGAGCCCAGTGAAAAGAAGAACGAGTGAGGGAGAAAAGCAAGCGGTACACATGCACAGCGCCTCAGGAATTGGAGTTTGCAGTCTCCCTTCCTGTCTTTCTCCAAAAGACCTCTCTCTCCCTTTAGGACTGGATGCTTCTCATGATCAAGTATTGCATCTTTGGTTTCTATTGCATTATATTTATCCAGTATAGAGAGGTCTAAATTTTTGTAACAACGGTAACCATGGCAACCTGATATGCTTTAAAGTGGAAAATCAAGCCATGACAACAAAAATAAAACCAAAAAGATAGTAGATTGGCTACTAACTGGGTGATTGGTGGTGTGGTCTCTTTCTTAACCCAGGCACGGGTCTGTGCTGAACCATCACTTCTGGGCCAGCGGGTCCCACTTTTAATCCTTGATACCCATTTGTGAGATGAGCTAGTGTGGGGGATTATGAATGAAGTAGGTGACTTGGCCCGTTTTTATCTGTGAAAACCCACCTTGCCAGATAAAAATGAATTCTTTAACCTTGTTCCCATCAGCTCCATGATTTAATTAGCTTAAACTGCCTGGCTCTTCTATCAAGACAGTAATGCTTCCTTTCAAGCTTGTACCAAGGGTTGAAGAGATGCAATAATTCTGAACCAGTCACAGGGATTCCGCAGGAAAGGAATGGCTGTATATTCGATAGCATTACTGGGTCACTGCCCTTCACAGGGAGCCAGCTAGTTCAGTGCAACTGGTAACAACTCCGAAGGCACATCAACTAGCCTCCAGGTACCTCTGGCCCTAGGTTTCCTTGGTGATCAAAACAACACAACACAACATAACACAAACCCATAGCTGTGGAATCGAGTCAGCACATGGCATCCCATCCGGCACAGAGTGGCATGGCTCCACAGGGCGTTCTTGGCTGTGACCTTGATGGCAACAGATGTCCAGGCTTTGTGTGTGTGTGTGTGTGTGTGTGTTACTTCTGGATGGGTTCACAACTTGGGGTTTGTTGGTGAGTGTGAATCATTTGCATTCCTCGGGGGCACTCCTTTTCTAGAATCCAAATGTAACCATAGATTTTTATCAAGATGAAATGAATGATCATCCACACAACCCGGTAGCACTTTCTGAGCAGCAGGCTGACCACGGATGCCCTAATAGGTACGAATCTCTTAAGCCCATCCCTCCGTGTCCCTTCCAGCATGAGAAGCTGATCCATGAGTTGGAAGAAGAGCGACACTTGCGTCTTCAAAGTGAGCAGCGGCTGCAAGAGGTGACCTTGGAGTCTGAGCGCACCCGGATTCAGATGCATGACCTGCAGCAGCAGTTTTCCAGGTACAGTCATGAAGTGAGCACATGCCTCACCAGGTGCAGCTCTCCATGCACCAAGGCCGCGTTCAATGGGATTTCCAGTTTGCAAATTCTTTTGTTTTTGACAAGCTAATTTCCCAACCACTTAGACCTTCTTTTATGTTCAAGTCTCCCGGTGGCAGTTAAACCTCTTTTCTGAAACTTTAGTTGTCCTTGACCCAGGCTGGGCTTTACTGAAGCAGGTTGTCTTTTCTGCCGCACTGGCTTCCCCATGGGTCTGCCCGGGAGTTTCAATGGCTTTGTGGCCTGTAGGGATGTCCTTTGAGAGGCTAGGTGGGTGGATGAGACCTCACAGGTCATCATAATCCTGTTTTAAAGGACAGACAGACTGTGAGTTCCCTCACACATTGCTTAGTGGAAACATTAGGAAGGAGGGGGGAATTAAAAGAAATCAAAATCAATGAGTTCTGATCCTTTGAAAAGAGATCCTGTGAAAGGCACGTTCTCAAAAGCAGCTCTTTTCAGGTCTAATTGCAGCACAGTCTGAACCTTTCAATTTCCAAGGATTGTTCCTATGGGGGCCAGGGAGGGGTTTCTATCTATTCTGTGAAAATCCATTCAATTCTGTGAGAAAAGAACCACAGACTTGGATCTAATTGCAGACATGGGACTAGATACAGGCATTCTGCGAGGAATAGTCTGCCGGCACGTCTACATTTGCTAAATCAGAAAAATAATTTTAAAATGTATTTTTAACAGTTTTATTGGCATACAGTTCACATATCATAGAAGTCAATCGTTCAATCACATCAAGAAGAGCTGTAAACAATCACCACCACATCCATTTTGGAACACTTTCTCCATTCTTGGATCATTATTAGCTCCCCACTCCCTCCAACTTCTCCTGTCATACCCCCACTTGATAGTATTATTGGGTCACTGTCTTTCACAGGGAGCCAACTATTTCAGTGGAACTGGTTTAAACTCCAAAGGCATATTGTGATCATCCAGGCTGACTAGAGAAACAAATGCAGAGACACTTGTATATGTGTAAGACAGAACTTTATATCAAGAAGTAATTGCACATCAATCAAACATCCCAGCCCAGTCCAGATCAAGTCCATAAGTTGGATATTAGCCCTTATGTCCAAAATTAGCCCATGGATTCCTCCTCGGACTCACGCAGCACATGCAATGGTGGCAAACGCAGGAAGATCCCAGGCTGGTGGGTGGAAAGTCCTGTGGGTCCAGTGGCATCTCCAGGGGCTCTGGTTACCATCAGCATGGTTCCATGTGGCTTGTCAATAGGAATGTGAAGCAGAGAGACTATGTCCCACTTCCAGGGAAGAATAGAGGAAAACTCCCAGAAACCTCATCAGAAGACCACACCCACAAGGAGGCATCAATCAGTCTGTGACCTGATTGACAGGCTGTATTCCACCTGTATAACCTATTTATCAATTGTCATGAAGTTGTCATTTCAATACTTCTGATCCTAGGTTTCCTTGTTTACAAAAACAAAACAACAAATGACAACCCAAACCCATAGCTATAGGGATCATTAATCCAGTTACTGTCTCCATAGACTGACCTATTCATTTCTCCATCAACTCTACTTGGGATAACACAGGTAGATAACCCAAGAGGCTGTCCAAAGTATAATTGCATTTCAAAAATGTTCTTAAAGTCTTAATGAGCTGCTGTCTCATTTCAAAGTGTGGAATAATTCAGAATTGTTTGTCCCTATAACGGGTGGCTTTGATGGTTTCATGCCAGAACTCTTAGCTTCCATGTTGGTGACTCAAGTTTATTTTGGCCAATGTAACTATGTGTAGCCACCGGCCATCTCTCAGTGGAGGCTCATGTGTTGCTTTGATCCTAATAGGATTTGCAGAGGAGCTTCCAGACCAAGATGGACTAGGAATAAAGTCCTAGAAACCATTTCTATTGTATACAGGATCACCATGACTAACCACAACAACATATCATTAGTGATGGTTCATGCAGCCTCATTAAGACACTGTTATCACTTTTAGGTGTATTGGAGGGAGTGGCCAAAGCTGCTAGTTTATTTATCTCCTTTTGGCCCATGCTGTGAATGCTTATGACTTTAGTTTAAGGGCTTCCTGGAGGAAGAAGGCAGAGAGATGGGATGACTCCTCTGTGTTCAGTGTCCTGATTTCCCACCTCAGGAACACTTGAGTTCCTCGTAATACGCAGGTGCTGTGAAAATGCACTGGTCAATCCTCTAACAGATGCATGCCCCACCCTATGCAAAGTTTTTCATTCAGTTTGGTGGCAACTCTCATTTTATGCCTCCTCCCAACTTGAAATAATAGATCTCCCCGCCTGACGCAACTTCAAAGCTAGCACTAACTTCATTTTAGGATGGTGGGCAAGGAGGAGGCAGATCACACCATCTCACGCTAACCAGGGTCTCTCTGCGTTCAAGCTATTGATTTACCGGTCATGAAACACTTGGCACAGTGAAGTCTTTTCCTGGGATGCCAGGTCATCCATTGTAAATCAGATGACAATCCCATTCAGATTTGAGTTCCCCAAGAGTTCAGGCTACATCCCAGGCAGAAAGAGAAGATAATTGCATGGGACATAAACAGGGGTCCGATTTACATACTGCGTTTGTGAAGACCCCCCCACCCCCACCCCACTGGGCAGTATGATCAGTTTTCTCCTGTAAGGTTTCATTGAAACGGAAACGTTCAAGTCCAATTACAGCCAGACAACTAATGCAAATCAGTAAAAGACAGGAGGGAAAAAGACCAGGTAATCACACAGTAATTTGAACAGGCCCACTGAACAATTTCTGATGGCCTTTCACATTTTAAGCGTTAGCTTATAAGATTTTTCTATTGTTTGATTCCATACAAAATTGTATGTGAATGGATATATTGATGTAAATTATGGTGAAAACAACAGCAATGACTATTAAAGAAAAAAAAAAGGGAACCAGGGTTTCTGGGGGTGGTGGGGGTCAGTAGGGTTGGGAAGGGAGGGGATAAGGGGGGGGTGAGTAGGGTTGGGAAGGGAGGGGATAAAGGGGAGCAAGACCAAGGCAGTCAAGGAGAAAGAAAATGATTTGAAACTAATCATGGTAGCAATTATGCCACATTGGTTGATGGGATTGAAATATGGAATGTTATGATATCTTTAGGAGCTCCCAATAAAATGTTTTTTTTTAAGTAAAATGTTAGACTAAAAAAAATAAATTAAAAAAAGATATATCTACTTATGCATATTTACCCAATTCTGTTACCAAAATGTAAGTCTTTGTAAAATTCTCAGCATTACAGAATATGCCCATACTACATCATTCTTGTCAGCGTCTAGTTAGTCATACTAATCATACTAGTAATTTATATAATGAAAGTCAGTGTATGAAACTTGTGTATCTATAAATTTCTTTCCCTTGTTTTTTTCTGGACCAATTAGTTCGTCTAGTATGTGTGATGTTGTTTGGGGCATAGAATCCTTTTGAACACTAGATGGAACAAAGTTACTTTTAAAAATTAGCTCGTAAACTTACATCCTTTTGGATAGGAGGTTGTTGACAATAAAAGATAGGTTTATAATAAGTTGATAACATGCTGCTTGAGGGAGAAGGTGACTGTCGTAATTTCACAGACTACTATGTTTTCTGGGAAGGATCATTTATTTAACTGAACTCAACGTTTCCTGGAGACCTTGATAAGAAGCAACTACAATAGGACATATCATCTTCCTCTGTGCTCCATAGACTCACTTTTCAGAAGGGGCTCATCTGGCCTTCTTCCGTGGTGTGTTTGAGTGGATTGAAGCTTCCAACTTTTCAGTTGACTGAACATGTTAAGCCATGTCATTCGGGGACTCCAGACAACGCCTCTTACCCACTAATGAGATTCAGATCATCTCTGTTCACACAACCAGAATAGGATAGATTACTTCAGATCCTTGATAGGAAACACTGAAGGATACCATCTACCATGCAAAATGGTACAAATCAGTATTAATTCCTAGCATTATGACTACTGACGTGATGTACCCAGGGAAAGAAGCAGCTTCCTGCCCTGTAGTAAAGAGGTAGAGCCTTGGAAACTCACTGGGGCAGTTCTCCTGCCCTTCCAGGGTTGTTATGAGTCAGAATGGAATGGATGAGAGTGAGTTTTTGAGTGTGTATTGTATATATAAAAGGTCAATCCGCTTTTGAATTTCACAGCATAGTCAATGGAATTCTGGGCTCCAAGTTAAGTAGCAGTGTCAAGATTCTCAAGCATTATGCTGTGAGTGAATGGGAACATCTAAATATGCACACATTGTGCCATTCTTACACATCCTTCTTGAAGCTGGGACAGATGCACACAGTGCTGAGGCCTTGGGGACTTGGGTGAAGCATCCTTTCTGGTGTATGTAATGGCGTGGTAGCCAGGAGCATGTCCAAACAATGAAAATACCATGAGGTTCAGCTGTCAAGGTGAGATCAGCGGGGTGGGGAGTCAATATGGAAGGTAGAAGCTGGGGGCATTAGATCTAACTGGGGAGAAGAGTTCACCAGTCAGGATGAGTTAGTCAGGAGAGGGAGTATGGGGCTTGATTCTATGCCGTTTCAGCTGAGCAGTGGGTTGGATAGCTTTTAGGTACCAGGCAACCCTGCACATGTTTGACTATCCATATCAATGAGTCATGGGTGCACTTGGATGATGGACATTTCTTTGAATGAGTTTCTTGTATGCCTCCACCAGGATTCATCCACAATCTCAACCTTCCCCTTGACCTCATGCCTAGAGAAGGTGGACCTATTAGCAGTGGCCAGAAGTCTTGGTAGTAACGAGAAGAGATGTGGGCGGAGGCTCCACAATCAGCCCTGAGCTCACAAACCAGAATGGCCTGTGTCGAGGAGGTCTCAGAATGCTATAGCTCACTTGGTTTGAGCCATTTGTATTCTCTCATGTAAACGCAGAGATGAATAAAAGCTCTTTTCCAATTAGCCCAGCCCTACAGCGGCGGGAGCTTAATTAACATGCATGATT